GCAGTCTTTGGTTGACTACGTGGATCCTCCTCTCCCTCCTCAGCCCATAGCCCAAGACTGGGAGGATCAATGACAACACCACCTGTGCCCTCAGACCCTTGAGCCCCACTCCTAAATTCCTGTAGCACCTCATGACCCGGCTGGGAGTGCTCCAAGCTGTGTCATTGGTGCCGACATGAATAAGGAGCATAGGATAGTGGTCTGTGGGCTGGAGGAGCTTAGGGATCCTCTCTGCAATGTCCCGGATGCAGGCCCCTGGGAAGCAGCAGATTCCTGGGCTAAGGGGTCAGGGCAGCAGATTGCCCCCTCAGTCTCCCACAACAAACACCTTACATTTTATCTTGGGGAGAGCGGAGGTGGTAGCTGCAGTTGCCTGTGTTGCCTGCAGGAGCAGGCTCTGCTGGAGCAGCAAGAGATGCGTCCCTGTTGCTAAGCTCTGGTGGGACAGAGGCCTTGGTGCGGCGGGCCTTAAGGCTCTTGACCACCTTTGGTCCATGCCCCTGACTGGACAGAGTGAGAGGTCCCAGAGTCCTCCTTTGTCCTGGAGGGAGACTGTGGTCTACTCTCTGGCTCCTGGGGGAGAAGGGTCTGGCAGTAGGAGTCTATCTCCTGCTCACAGTCCCTGATGGCACGCAGTCTCTGGACTGTGGCCTGGAGCTCCTCCAGCTGGCACGCCAGAGACCCCAAAAGGGAGCAGACCCCACAAGGGGAGGTGGCCATGCTCCTGGGCCCCAGAGCCCGAAAAAGGGACAGGCAGCCCGGAACCATGGGCTCCGTCTGGGTGGCCGTCTCTGAGGTGCCCAAAGGGGGAGCCGCAGAGCCGGAGGGGTGCGGCGTGTGCCCATCTGTGTCGTGCCTCTGGTAGGCTGGCTACAGCTGGGACTGTCTACCCTGGGGAGTTAGCAGGCAGGGTCTCAGGACCTCCCGCGCACGCTCCTGCACAAACTCTGTGCTAACTCGCGTGCCAGCAGACCAGCACGCCTGTTTGCGCAGCTCTGGTCGCGTGGCTCCCTGGGGGGCTGGGCAAAGTAAGGGTCTGGGCAGGGCTTGACCCAGCCCAGCTCCACTTGGCCACCTCCTCCCACTCACTAAGGGGTTAACCCTCTCATCATGGGCCCTGCTTGCCTCCGGCTGTGCTGGGGGTCAGCGGGGGGCTTCAGGGGAGCGGGGGCGCAGCGGGCTTTCACCCGTGTGTCTTGCCGCTCCGGAGCTTAACTGGGGCTTTTTTACTGCTGGCGGGCCCTTTTGAGAGAACATGTGTAAAGATGCCTGTCTTGGTGTTGGGTTTTTCATTACCGTATTTACTTGAATCTAAGGTGACTTTGATTTTAAGAAGATTCCTCCCAGTAATTAGGTTCTGGACATGGAAAATCATGAATTTTTTTTGTTTGTTTAATTTTTCATGCACAGAATCTAATAGGTAGGTAGGTTTGTCTCTTGAATTCATCCCTCTACTGCTGTGGTGGGTAAAGCAGCAGTGGAGGGGGCGTCTCTTGTTCCCCTCTGGCTGTGCTTTGCCTCTCCTGCAGCCTGCATGCCTCCACCCATGTTCCCCTTACCTTCTCCTGCAGCTGTGCTACTCTGGAGCAGTCAGCAGCAGTGCGGCTCAGTCTCAGCCCAACCCAGCCTGGCCTGGCCAGGGAGAAGCTGTATTCCCAGGAGGTATGGGCTGGAGGGACTGGAGTGAAGCAGAAGACAAGGTGGGGAGAGGGGGCAGAGTGTGGAGGACAGACACAAGCATGGAGGAAAAAGCTGCAGGTTTCCTGCTCCTTCCCCTACCAAATGCCCCAGGCTGGAATGGCTCAGGTTGCAGCTCAGCTCTGGCTTCATCCCTGGGGCTAAAGCTGGAGCTGAGTTGCCACCTGTCCTAGGCTGGTACTCAAATCCAAGATGAGGCTTTTTTCCCCCATGCTGATTGTGGGTAGAGTGGGGGGCATTGCTCATCATTCAACAGTAGCACTAGGTTTGAGAGATGCAGAAGGTGGCTGGTAGGCTGCAGTGTTTACGCAAATGCATTTCTGTCTCTAATTCTTGGAAGCTGCCTTGCCTCACCTTTGACTGCTTTGCTTGTGTGGCAGTCACTAATAATGCTGTGTGATATGCCGTTGTCCTCAAGTTTCATGACCGTTTTGTATGTAGCTTTACTTAGAGAATTCTTCTGAGAGAGGGAAATCAAACCAGAGAGATGAGGTGAGAGAGAAAAGTCTCCCTTGCCCTAATAATCAGTTGTGGGGGAGAGGAGAAGGGAAGAAAGAAGTGCATATAGTAGCTGTTTGTATGTTGAGTCCACCAATTGCTGCTTGTCAAACTGGATGTCTTAGCAGCTCATCTGAGGGGCATTGGGATGGAGCACTTCAAAGATGTGCAAAGCACGTGCAAGATGGACCATGATTGGTCCATAATCTACTTTGTGGGAAAGTTGCAATTTTATGTTTTTCAGTCTCTGCTGTACCAGTGTTCTGCACATTTTATTTACTGCTTCAATCTTCATTTTGATCACTAAATAATAAAGTAAAGTTGCATTAGAAATGAACAGGTTTGGAGGGAGCAATAAAAGGCATCTCGGAAAGATGGCTTCCTTGGGGGATTTGGTATCCAGATCTAGGTGCTTATTACTGGCAACAGTATTAACTGACTCACCTTGGTTGGCCACTTTTAATCTTTCTCTTTGCATTGCATCTATGAGGTGGGACTTCCCAGTGCTATGGACAGATTCTGAACAGAAATGCATTATTGTAATGGCGTGGTGCCAAGACCTACAGTAATGAGGCCCAAAGAAAAAAACAGACGCAACTAAAATCTTTTCTTGCAAGTGTTGTGAAGGTTGTAACAATATACTCTGCTGACTGGATATTTTCCATGCAGTCATTTGTAGCAGTATCCTGTAAGCAGTTTCAATTTTAAAAACAAACAAAAAAAGACTTGTCAGGTATACAGCATGACTTTCTCTTTAGGGCTGATCTTTTCTGAACTCTGGGTGGAGATGTATTGGCAAGACCTCATAGAGGAACTTGGGTTGTCTGTTCTGCATCAGTTCTGTATTGGTCATGCTGTATCAGGTCTCTGGATATATGAAAAACTTTTTCTCTGGTTAGTAAGCCTGCCTCTTGGCAAGAATGCCTCCATTTTCAAATGAACTTGGCATAGGTGGTCTTTTCTAACAGTTTTCCTTCAAGCAAGTATTTTGGGTCAAATTTGATCACCCCAACCTACACTGAGGAGAACTTTAAAAAAAACAAAACTATACAGCCAGCAAAAGACTGTACAGCATGAATTGGATTATTGAAGTCCATCCCTTTTCTATCTTGGCTGCCCTAAATCTCAACAAAGATTTTATTAAAGCTCTCTGTGTAACACTGTGCTTAACACTTTGCTTTTATGCTCTTTGTTGCAGAGTGCCAAAGTACTTGCGAAGAAGGAACTCTCGTACGTGCCTGTCATTGGCTGGATGTGGTATTTCCTGGAGATCGTTTTCTGCAAGCGTAAATGGGAGGAGGATCGGAAAATAGTCATGCAGGGCTTGTTCAACCTCCGGGATTACCCAGAAAACTTTTGGGTGAGTGGTGAGGATGGGGTGGCACTGACAGCACTCTTGTCCCTTCCGTGAGACGCGAAGAACATAAGCAACACAGCACAATTCTTCGTATGAAACCTCCATGATCAGTGCGAAGAATTTGGTTCCCTGTTTTTGTGAGCCTTCCAGGTGTCAGCCATTGAAGAGAATGCAGAACTTCCACCCCATGATTTGGCTTTAATTTTTCTTTTGCTCCTATAAAGGGCTGTAGAGAAGAAAGGTCATAGATTATGAACTGAACACGGGGCAATTGTTGGTTTGTCTGTGGGTTGTTTTTTCCTTGTTGCTTTCCAAACTCCCAAATTTAGAGGACAGTGGAGAGATTGAGTGTTTGTGAGTGAGATGTATATATAAAATATTTTCCCCCCCGCATCACTCTCTGCTTTTTTCCTTGTCATTTTAGAAGATGGACTAATTTATGCACTCATGGCCCCGACTCCATTTTCCCTCCTTTGAATCCCATTGTTACAATCCACGGCAAATCTTGCGTTAAAGCGCCTGATGTAAGCAAACTTGGTAGAGTTGTGTTTGCCCAAACTAGGTTGCTGTTTGAACTACAGGCTTTCTAAAGTGAAGAGGACTGGATTTGCCTCCCCATAATGAGAACTGAGAGGTAAAAATATCCACCTTATCTGTCAGGCTGGAAAATGATAGATTGTGACCAGAAGTAAACAGGTTATGACTCCACCGCACCTGGGAATCAAAAATCCTGATTTTTGTGGTGTGGTGAGAGCCATGTGAAAGACCTTTTGAGCCTTAAGCAATTGTACAAGTGGCTAACAAATATTTGGCTGCTTAACTGAGTGACAGTTTTCTAATGAAGATGCAAGTATTACATGCCTGAACCTCTGAGGTATTTGGACACCTGCAGTCTCATTGCCTTCAGTGGGACCTGAAGGCAATCCCTGCCTTGTAGATCAGAGGCCTTCTGTTTTGGGGTATGTTGGATGATCTCTAGCCAGGATGTTGCCTGAGACATAGACAAGATACTGTCTTTAGATGCTGCTTTCCACAGTAATTTCTGACCTTTTAAAATGTGCCCCAATCAGTTTTTATAAAAAAAATACTTGAGCTATTCAGCACTGATTTATGAGCATAACTCACCTGACATTCTTTTGTATGTCGCCTAATAGCTGCTGCTTAGTAATCCCTCTTACTCAACCCTAATATCGATACAGTTGTTGTACAACTGAGGTTAATTCAGTGTGAAGTGGAATTTTACTTCGCACTCCTGTGCAGTGATCTTGCATCAAAGGTGGAAATATTACCTTATGTGTAGAAAGAGAGCAGGCCAGGTCTGATGAAAAGATTTTTCTCATTATTGTTTTTTTTTCCTGAAAGCTTGATCCACCTTTTTGAAGAAGGTTCTATAGGGTACCTTGGAAGAGAACACTCCAGCAGGGGCTAGAGGCTAAATGAGAGATGATCCACTAGTTCTCTTCAATTACTAATTTTTGTGGCTAAAATCCTGGCCTTGGGTTACTAGTAAAGTTTAGTCAAAGGCTGCAAAATCCATTCTCCTGACTTCCTTTAGATTGAGTTGGTTTCAACTACACTTGTCAGAAAGTAAATCACTAAGAGGTTGCATTTCCAGAGGCCAGCTTGTTTTCATGTATGTGCCAACAGGGGAATGGATTTTATGCTCATGTCTGAGCAGGTCAGTGCAAAAAGCCTATTTTTAATATGACGCTATTTAAATGACTGCATTTTCTGGTCTGTAACTGTCATTGCCACAGTCACTGGCACAATAATTTATGGCTTTGGCTGCACATGGTACATCCAGGTGCTTGGGACACACCAGAATGGGAGAGCTTCCTGAAACATTATCTGAGGCGGTGCTTGTACAGGCCTCGTCACTGTAAAATCTGAGCGCTTCATTGTCAATATGGTACTTAATCTTGCAACATCCATGTTGGGATAGGGAAGTGCTATATATCCTTCCAATATAGATGGAGACTCAAGATACAGAGGAACAAGGACTTGAGTTAATAAAATTATAGAAAGTTAGGAAGGGACCTCAGGAGGTCATCTAGTCCAACCCCCTGCACAAAGCAGGAGCATCCCCAACTAGATCCCAGCCAGAGCTTTGTCCAGCTGGACCTTAAAAACCTCCAAGGATGCAGATTCCACCAGCTCTCAGTAACCTGTTCCAGTGCTTCACCCCCCTCCTAGCGAGAGCATCTCTCCTAATATCCAACCGAAACCTCCCTTGCTGCACCTTGTGACCATTGCTCTTTGTTCTGTCACCTGTCACAGCTGAGTTCAAGTGTCTCAAAAGCTAGTTCAGTAACCCTTCTCCTCTAGCACCAAGGGAATCAAAGATGCTGGCAGAGGAGGATTTGGCCCCCTCTCATTGGGTAGTGCAGGAGGGGAGAAGTAGTGTCTTTATGCAGGTGTGTAATTTCTTGTCTTACAGAGGTTATAAAAATAAAATGATCTTTGTTACATCGCTCTGTGAGCACTATCTGCAGGTATCAAACAGTTGGGCCTGTGGTTTGGTTTGACAGTGACTGAATTCATTACTGCCATAGCAAGTCCATCCTCAGCATTGTAAAATCCATGTATCTTTGTAGCTGTTGGAGCCATTGGACTTTAGAAGTGGAAGAAAATAGCCTCCTGGCACATTTAGTTTCTCGGGAAGAAGTTAATGATGATTTAAGTTCTTTTTAAATGGGCATTTGAACTGTGCCTGAGAGCCTACCTGTGAAATGTGAATTGTAATGGAGAGCTGAACTGTCCTGAAGCTGGGGGCGCGGATCTGGAATTCTGGTTGGGGTCTCTTACGTCTAACTGTTGAGGTAATACCTGGGCTGCTCAGTCAGATCAGAAGCTCTAATGTACTTTCTTGAGCTCCTTAATGTACATTCCTCATCGCATTTTGTTACAGCAGCAGAACAGGCCAAAATTCTCCACCGATCAGTACTCTCCTTTTTTGACCTGAGGTTTTGCTTACAACTGTAGTATGAACAGCATCCAGATCCCCCTCTTCCCTAGTATTAAGTATATTCAAGGCTTTATTTCTTTCCAACTAATCCACTTGCAGAATACCTCCATTCAGAAGGCGCATTTAAAAAAAAGCAAGCAAACAGAATAAAACCACAAAGAAGTGGGTTTTTTATGTCCTTTTGCAAGCTGGTTTCTAACTGCAGCCCTGTCTTGGTTTCAGTTCTTGATTCATTGTGAAGGCACAAGGTTCACAGAGCAAAAACACCAAATCAGCATGCAAGTGGCTGAAGCCAAAGGGCTGCCCAAGCTCAAGTACCATCTGCTACCACGGACAAAAGGATTTGCTGTCACCGTGCAGTGTTTGAGAAATGTAGGTAAGGAAAGTCACACGGACCAGTTTCTAAATGTTTATATCAATCCCCTGCTGTCATCTTGCCATGTTCATTTTCCCTCCAAAGCCCATGTCTATAGAAAGAAATTGGAATCCCCCATTAATCTATGCTTCCATCTGTTCACATAGACTAATGGATGAGGCTTGTCCAGCAAAACTTTTTTTGGCATTTTAAGTTTAGTTGCTATAAAGAGACAGCAATGTCTGTGTATCACCCCCCACCCTGTGTCACAGTTTTCAAATCTAGGGGTATTTTTACACATGCTTCAGGGGCTGGGGGAGTGGTTCTGTGAGCTGCTCTAATTAAAGCAGCAGCTGCGTCTTGTGTATCAGCATCCCCATGCTTCAAAATGATGGTAGGGCACTTTAAAGCTCATCAGAGAAGTTTTAGTTGAAGCAGCCCACATTGCCATTTTGAAGCCTGATTCACAAGATGCTGGAGGTGTGTTAATTTAGCATGCTCCAGCAGACTCTGTTTAATTGAAGCATCCTCTCCACATGTCCAGGTACTCTAGTGCTTCATCTTGGAAATGCTGACGTTGGATAACCTTGCTTTCCTGAGGACTATAGTAGACTGAGAAGAGATTCTGTTCTAACAATAATGTAACTCAGCTTTTCAGGGTATCCCAGTTTTTCTACTGGTTTCTTAGGGCAGATATATGCCACAGCAGCAGCATGCCCCAGCCAGGATGGGCCTGACCGTGGCCAGCTCAGTTGTTCCCACTTACCAGTTTCAAACCAGGAAATAAGCTGGTGAGGCTGTACTAGGGTCTTTTTTAGCAGCTACCCTCAACACCCCAGTCTCTGGTGCACTTGAGATGAGCATGGAAAATCCCTGCTGGTTTATTTTCAGTTTTGGAGTATGTACGTAGGAGCGGGTAGGCAGTATGTGCTTGGGCCAACCTGGCAGAAGCATGCTTCTGCCATGTTGTGGCATGTATGGCCACAGATAGGCTAGTGCAGGCCTATAAGTGGCACAGGCAGCCTGTGTGTGTGTGTGTGTGTGGGGCACATGGCAGACGAGAGGGGGCAAGTAGCACAGTGGCAGATTAGGAGCACAGGGGGAAGAACAAAGCTGAGCAGGGAACATAGGGCAGGAAGCATAAGACCAAAAAAATTGGCCCCCACTGTTTTGTATGTTTGGGCAGAAACAAGTCTGTAAATAGATTTCTAGGCCAAGGATATAAAAAAAAATCTTGGCTCCATTTCACACATTGCTAGGCAGGTATTTCCTTACCATACCACATCTGCATGGAGGGTAGGCACTTGAAAATTTTACCATGTGGTAAAATGAATGGGATTTATCAGTTGTTCTATGGTAACAGCCTGTGTGTATGTTCTTACACTGTGGTAAGTAGAAGACAACCTGCAGTTGCTTACCCATCTTTTAAAGAGGGCTAAATTACTGAGAGTTAGTGTTCATTTACTATGTAGTGCAAGTACACACACAGACAGTTACTGTGGAGCAGCTAATCCACAGTAAAGCTGCACCCTTTTTCACTAGTGGTAAACTATGGATGTGTTCATGTCCTTAATATTCCCCCCCACTTACTGTGTTAGATCAAATAGTCCTTTCACAGTTGGCGGATTTGGGAATAAGAGTAAGACTGGTTTTGTTCAGCCTTTAATTGGACTGATTATCTTGTAACTAACACGTTTTATCAGTCTACGGAATTTTTCCTTTTTACGCACCTTGTGGTTGTCTGCTCTCTGTTCTACAGTTGATGTTGGTGCAATGATCAGAGAATTTTTTATAAGTTGTTCTGTGGGAATTACTGTGTTCTCCCTCTCTCTCAAGTGGAACTAATGCAAAAATAATAATAAAACGAAAAACAACGTATTTGGTATGTTGGATCTAGCCATTACCCTGTATTTTTGGAGTGATGGGTGTATATTGAGAGTGATTTGCTGGTAAGAGAGAAGAACTCTCATTGTTCTGGCCCCATATTAGTCTGTCAAAACCCCCATTGACTTCAGTGGGCCTGGATTTTCACTCAACATATCCGGGATAGAGAGAGGTAGTATAGTTATAGTATAGCAGAAATGTTCGGCAGTGAATAGAGTGCTATGTTCCAGTTCCATGAACCTTCACACAAGGAAGGCAGATGACACAACTCTTCTCTAGCTTTGTGAGAATAATGGGGCCATTCATAAAGTAGCTAAACATTTCATTTCATAGAGACTTTTCATTTTTGTGTGAAGGAAAGCAGGAACGCATATTTTGGATGAGTTGACCATCATACAGTGACTGTCCAAAGGGAATAAATTACCTTTTCTTTTCTGAAAAAGGAGCACAATGAGAGAATTATTTTTATCGTGGGAAGTGGAGATTGCCCTGAGGTGGAAAATGCTGCTCTGGATTCAGACTTCCCCAAAGCATGTGGGCTTGAGGATCCAAGACTTTGTAACAGGCAGCTCTCTCTCTAATTTTTAAAAGTTCTTGAGGCAATTCACTCCACACCATTAACTGGTATAAAGCAACCGTAATGTGGTGGAGTTCTAGAAAATACCTGTAACTTTGCCAGTTAGTAATTTATGCACACTTTTTTTAAAAGATGCAAGTGATGTAGAAACTGAAGTTATTTTGCCAAGGGAACCTTAGATGCTTATAAGCTGAAGCCACATTAAACATCAATTCAACTTAAAGCTTCTGAATCACAGATGCACTTTTAAAAACTGAGAACAGAGCTTTGTCTTGAGTTTTGGGGAAAATCCCTGGGGAAATGCAGTGGAAGTGCCACGCTTAACTGAGGAGAAAAAGTTATTCAAAATGCCTGGCTTCTTCATTAATAATCAATAAAGACATGATGCCCAAAGGTTATCTTCTCTGCTTCCATATAGATTCCTGCTCCTGGAACTAAACAGTTTGAAAGCATTAGTATTCTGGAGGTGGAGGAAGATGAGTCTTGTTAATGTAGAGGACTGTAGACTTGTAGATCCGTGTTTAGTTTGGTATCTGTCACAAGCTGCTTGTCTGACTGTGGACATGGTACTTACTTAGCCCATAGCTAGTGTCTGTGTGTTTGCAGTATGAGGACAGGAACTCTACCCATCCCAGGAGGGTAGCAAAGTTAAATGCATGAGTGCTTGTGAGGTGCTTGGATATAGAGGAGAGGAGCACCGTAGACTTCCTACAGATAAATGAACTTGAACTGTCTCAAAGATGTGTTTTAAGTATTCCTCTTAAAACTAGCATGTTCAGATGGCAAGAGAGCCTGCAGGCTAACATTTTGATATGGGATGTATTGGACGTCTGTTTGAATCTAATAATCTACCAATAGAAGTCTTGGTGCTTTTATCTGGAATGCTCTCCTTTTCAGTAAATTTCACTACAGCTTGGTTACTTACCTACATTACATACCAGCAAATCCAAGTCTGTTACGAGTGTTGTCCTAAAATGTCCCTCAAAGTCCGAATGAACGAGCTATGTATATTGGTCATGGTGTATTTATGTTCAGCATGACCAATGTACACCTAATTTTAATTATCACATGGACACATTAGAGGGAACCATAGAATTCATAGAAGACTAGGATTGGAAGGGACTTCAGGAAGTTATCTAGTCCAACCCCCTGCCCAAAGCAGGACCATTCCCAACTAGATCATCCCAGCCAAAGCTTTTTCTAGCCACGTCATAAAAACCTCTAGAGATGAAGGGTTTTTTCTACCCTCCTAGTGAGAGCTTTTTCCTAATATCTAACCTAAACTTCTCTTGCTGCAACTTGAGACCATTGCTCCTTGTTCTGTCATCTGCCACCACTGAGAACAGTCTAGCTCCATCCTCTTTGGAATCGCCCTTCAGGTAGCTGAAGGCTGCTATTAAATCCCCTCTGTCTTCTCTTCTCAAGACTAAATAACCCAGTTCCCTCAGCTTCTCCTTTTAGAAGTCATGTGCCCCAGCCCCCTAACCACTTTCATTGTTCTCCACTGGACTTTCTCTAATTTGTCCACATCCTTTCTGTAGTGGACATAGCGCTCCATATGTGACCTCACCCATGCTAAATAAAGAGGAAGAATCATTTCCCTCAATCTTCTGGCAGTGCTTCTACAATGCAGCCCAGTATAGCATTCACCTTCTGTGCAACAAGGGCACACTGACTTGCATTCAGTTTATTGTCCACTGTAACCCCTAGGTCCTTTTCTGCAGAGCTACTTCTTAGCCAGTTGGTCCCCAGTCTGTACTGGGATTCTTCCATCCTAAGTGCAGGACTCTGCACTTGTCCTTATGGAACCTCATGAAATTTCTTTTGGTCCAATCCTCCAATTTGTGTCTCAGAATCCTAACCCTACCCTCCAGCATATCTACTGCTCCCCACAGCTCTGTGTCATCTGCAAACTTGCTGAGGGGGCACTGTATGCCATCTTCCAGGGCATTGATGAAAATACTGAACAAAACTGGCTCCAGGACTGAGCCCTGGGGACTCCACTTGATGCTGGCTGCCAGCTAGACATGGAGTCATTGATTACTACTCTGGGCCTCATGATCCAGCCAGTTTTCTAATCACCTTATAGTCCATTCATCCAACCTGTACTTCCTTAGCCTGCTTGTCAGAATGTTATGAGAAACTGCATCAAAAGCCTTGCTAAAATCAAGGTGTATAATGTCCACTGGTCTCCCCATTGGATCATCCAGGGGGCAGTGAGGAGAGGCAGCTCCCCACTGCTGCATGCACCCCCCCAGGGAGGCATGTGCCCCCTGGATTTGTGAGGCAGGCTGTGGGCTCAGGGCTGCTTCAGCCTCTTCCTGGCAGAGCGGCTGGGTTGGGGCTGGGCTCAGCTGTGCAGGGTGGGAGGTGGTGGTGGCGCTGCTGGGAGGAGTAGTAACAGGGGGACTACAGGGAATTTTGGAGTGGCTATATCTTCCCCAAGGCCCTCCTAGAACCACCCCTGCTTGGGGCATTCCACTCTGCTGCCTCTCCCTTGGGAGCCCTGTGCTGGCCACATGTCCCCTGCTTACCCCTCCCAAGGGAAAGGCAGCAGAGG